CTGACCCTGGAACCCCAGGTGTCAGCAGTGGCCAAGAGTGCCTTCACACAATTAAAACTTGTGCACCAGCTGTGCCCATATCTTAAGTCACTAGATCTGGCCATCATAGTCTACGCCTTAGTCACATCCCACTTAGACTACTGTAACATTCTCCACGTGGGGCTGCCTTTGAAGATAGTTCAGAAGTTTAACTGCTTCAGAGATCGGCAGCCAGGTACTAACTGGAGCCATGTACAGGGAGAGATCCACTCCTATGTTACAGCAGCTCCACTGGCTGCCGGTCTGGTTACAGGCTAAATACAAAGTGCTGGTCATTACCTTTAAAGCCCTAAATGGCTCGGGTCCAGGTTACTTGGCTGATTGCATCTCCTGTTACAAACCGCTCGGGCACTGCGGTCAGTGGAGGCCCTGCTCTCGAGCCCACCCCCATCTCAAGTACAGCTGGTGGGACTGAGAGAGAGGGCCTTCTCCGTGGTTGCCCCCCCACCTCTGAAACTCCCTTCCTAAAAAAGTAAAGCTAGCCCCCTCCCTCCTCTCCTTCAAAAAAGCAACTTACTTTTGCTCACTAACATATGCAGAGGAGGAGGACTAGACAACGAGAGACCTCTGGTTGAGAACTATTTCATATCCGGGTATCTGATGCTCCATGTTAGCCCAGTTACCATCACTGGCCACACAACTAACCCACACAAATTGTGAATGATAGTTGGCCTTTGTAAATCAATGTGGATGTTTTATGTTCAGATTTTATGTCATTATATAATTTTTGTTTGATTATGTTTGGATTAATTTATTGATGTTAAGTTCTAATGTTGTTTTCATATGTGGGGTTTTTCTGTAATTATTATGTTGGTACTTGTTTCTTCTATGGAGACATTGAATGTTTGCCATTGTCTATTGGAATCTACCCTGAGTCCCCCTGGGGAGATAGGGCGGAATAAAATAAATTATTATTATTATTATTATTAGTAGTAGTAGTAGTAGTAGTAGTAGTAGTATTACCTTAAACTAGGATGAAATACACATTAAGCAGCTTTCCCCAGGTTAAGCTGGATCAGCACCAGTGTGTTGTATAGCCACCCATGGTCTGACCCAACCTCACACTGACCTAAGTGGCCAGTATAGACGTGCCTTTAGTGACAAGGGGGAGTACAATAATTAACAGTAGTAAAAGCGGGTGAGATACTGAACTAAAGCTAACTAGAGCTATTCCCCAAGGTGAGTGAACCATCAAAATGACCAAAGCCACTTCTATCTCACCATCTGGCTGGCAACAGGTTTTGGAGGGGGGAAAATCCAAATAATCACAATCACACAAAACCAGAGTTGGGAAATCGACACATTTTTCAAGAATTTTTCTGCCTTGATTTTCTAAGTAAGTCGTTTTTTTTAATGATTCAGTTGAATGGTCTGTTTGCAGCTTTGGGAACATAACTTCAGTACCAATACTTTTAATAATTTGGCCTGCTTTTAGGAATGTGTGCTCCTTAACTTAATTTCTGTATTTCAAAATTGGTTGGCCAGTTTGGGGAAGATGGGACAGACCTTTCTTTAAAAAAATAATACATTGCTTATAAGGGTCTGGTGGGTGTATGTTACATTAAAACTAGCACAGGTCAAGAGAATAAAGAGTTTTATATAGACTGATCCAAAAATGTAAAATCCTTTGTAAAAGTGCTATCATATAACATGGCCTGCAAATTCATTACACTGGACATTCCTGCTAACTCTCGTATGCCATCTCCTGCAAATCCTATGCCATCACTTCTTGTTTCCATTCCTGGAGGGCAAAATACATTCATGGGGCACAGTTAGAAATATGTGTTCACTAATTACATGTCAATTTTACCCATATGACAAATTATACAAGCACACTATATCTCTAAGCTAAAAAAGTAGTGTTCTATCAGTAGTATGAAGGATTCAACAGCTTATTGGTTCTTTCTCAGGAGGAGGATGTGATCTATATTTAAAGCAACAGTCAAAAATAGAACCTGGCATGATTCACACTATGGGTTTCGTTTTGGCACCATGAGGACCAGAATATGCCAAACATATTATTCTTGTGGTACAGGAAGAGAAAGCAGACAATTTCCACTTGCACAGGGGCAAAATGCAGTGTGTTTGTGTGTGTTTTAAAGCTCAAAAGGATTTGGCAAAACTCACATAGGGCTCCAAAATCACTAATTGGAGATATAATTTGGAGATATAATTAATAATGTGTATTGAAAGCCATTGAGTGAAGAGTGGGCATGTCGTGTTGAAACATATATTTTTGGATGCAATCGCTGTTTTAAATTTTGATTCCGGAGTTTCTTCGGTGGGAAAAAGCCAATTAATTTGACTGCACCCTGTTTTCTTGAGCCATGTTCAAGTTTTACTAGGAGCTGCTCTTAAAGAATTTCACACACACACACACACACACAGAGAGAGAGAGAGAGAAGACGTAGGACTTGTCCCTCCTTATTCATCCCTGCTCCAATGCTTTTGGATTTGTGAGCAAAGAGAAAGCAAGTTTTACCTGCTTCACATGCTTCCCCTCAAGTGTCAGAGGGGAACAGCTCTACCCGCAACACCAACGACTTTGCTGGCAATGGCAAATAAGTCTTTCTGAGTTCTTTCCCAGTTTCTGAAAGTTTGGGGAATTCTCTTTTTTTTTTCAAACCCAAAAGAATCCATGCTACAATCCAGTCACAAAAGCCTATAGCTGAATATGAACATTTCCATCTCCTTATTATGTGCACGCTGGTGTGAAACTCATTCCCAACAGGAATGGGATGCATTCTGCCTTCCGTTTCCCTGAACATACCAAAGATAGGGAGAGATGAGTGTGACAGAAATTAACCCCTCATTAGCATCTCTCCAAGAAATGAAGGAGAATCTCAGGCAGCACAAACTCTACAACAGGCATGGGCAAACTTGGGCCCTCCAGGTGTTTTGAACTGCGGCTCCCACAATTCCTAACAGCCTCAGGTCCTTTCCTTTTCCCACTCTGCCATTTAAGCAGCTAAGGGGGAGGAAGAAGGGGCCGGAGGCAGTTAAGAATTGTGGGAGGTGTCCAAAACACCTGGAGGGCCCATGTTTGCCCATGCCTGCTCTACAAGCCAAGAGGCAATACTTGTGAACCTCACACCTCAGATCCTCAGAGTTCCTTTAGCTTCTAAGCCAGGGTTCAAATGTTCAACAATTTAAAATAGCACTTAAGGAAGCCTGTTCCAAGAGGCAGTGACACCTGTCAAGCCCAGCTGGACATCCAGCCAGTGGAAGAACTGCCCTCTAAATTGGGCAGAGAGAGCTAGGAAAGGACCTTGCAAAGCCCCATGCCTTGCGGTTCCTGGGATCCATATGAAGAGCCCCTGCATCCCAACTGCTTGACTCACCTCCTCTTCTTTTAAGAGAGGCCTTTTGAGAGGATTGGGGAAGAAAAACACTCTGCCCAGGACTGAGGAACGAATGCAGTTTGATTCCGCTTGAAGTTTTTCTGTTTTTGTGTGTGTCAGGAGCAACTTGAGAAACTGCCAGTTGCTTCTGGTGTGAGGGAACTGGCCGTCTGCAAAGACACTGCCCAGATGTTTTACCATCCTGCGGGAGGCTTCTCTCATGTCCCCACATGAGAAAGTGAAGCTGACAGAAGGGAGCTCACCCTGCTCCCCAAATTCGAACCACTGACCTTTCGGTCAGCAGTCCTGCTGGCACAAGGGCTCAATCCTATGGGACGCTGGTAGTTTTGTGAGGCACCAGCACTGTTTGGCAGAGAAGGCTCAAGATCTGTGAAAGTCTAGTGTTGAGTTATGGGGGTCAAACTCACTCCTGGGAATGGCAGTTTGATAAAACACTGATGTGCTTAGGAAGGGAAGGCTGAAGACCTTGCAAGGCTATAACTCTTGTGACTCCAGAGCATGGAGCCATGGCAGTTGAAGTGGGGTCAAACTCACTCCTATAATGCAAAGCCATGGCAGTTGACATGGGGTCAAACTCTTGGGAATGACAGTTTGATGAAACACTGATGTGCTTAGGAAGAAAGTTGAATTCCTCATAATACTACAAATCACCAGACTTAATAACATGGAGCCATGGCAGTTGAAGTGGGGTAAAACTCACACCTGGGCATTATAGCTTGGTGAGGCACTGCCATTCTTGGGCAAAGAAGACTGAAGGCCTTGGGAAACTCTAGTGAGAAGCCATGGCCGTTGAAGTGGGGTCAGGCTCACTCCTGGAAATGGCAGCTTGATGAAACACTGATGTGCTTAAACCTTGTAATACTACAACTCCCCAGACTCTATAGCATAGAGCTGTGGCTGTTGAAGTGGGGTCAAACTCACTCCTGGGAATTATAGTTTCGTGAGGTACTGCCACTCTTGGGAAGAGAAGGCTGAAAGCCTTGGGCAACTATGGTGTGGAGCCATGGCAGTTGATGTGGAGTCAAACTCACTCCTGGGAATTATAGTTTGGTGAGGCAGTCCCATTCTTGGGCAGAGAAGGCCGAAGGCCTTGGGAAACTCTAGTGGGAAGCCGTTGAAGTGGGGTCAGACTCACTCCTGGGAATGGCAGTTTGATGAAACACTGATGTGCTTAGGCAGAGAAGTCTGAAGACCTTGTAATACTACAACTCCCCAGACTCCATAGCATAGAGCTATGGATGTTGAAATGGGGTCAAACTCACTCCTAGAAATTATAGTTTGGTGAGGCAGTGCCATTCTTGGGCAGAGAAGGCTGAAGGCATTGGGAAACTATAAGTGTGGAGCCATGGCAGTTGATGTGGGGTAAAACTCACTCCTGGGAATTATAGTTTGGTGAGGCACTACCATTCTTGGGAAGTACAGGCTGGGGGCCTTGGGAACTACAACTACATAGCACTTGATGCATAAACTTGATTAACCCCACGGGGAAGACAGGCGCACGCTCATCCTGGCAGGGGCGCAAGGAAGGGCTTGAGGGGCGAAGGGAAGCGGAGCTCCCGCGCAGGCTGGCCTCAGGCAACCCCACCGCGCACGCGCATTGGAGGGCCGCTCACTCACAAGCTCGCTCGCCCATCGGGGGGCTCTCCTTGCCCGTCCCGCGCGCCCAGTGCAATTGGAGAGAAGAGGGAGGGAGGGAGAGAGAGAGAGAGGTACGCAGAAACAAGCTCACGACGGGGCGGCTTCCCTTACCTGCGGAGCCCAGGAGAGAAGCCCCCAGGTGACGCAAAAAAGGCGGGCGAGGGTCCCTCCAGGCGCTGCTGCTCTTGGTGCCATCGTCCTCCTCTTCCTCAGCTCTCCCAGGGCGGGAAAGAATGAGAAAGAAGCCTTGTCCCCCTCCGGCGAGAGTTGTAATCCTTTGCAGAAGAAGCGGCTCCTCGGCTGGAGGCAGCGGGGCGCGCGACTCTGGCTCTGCTCGCGCGCCGGGGATGGGACGGGATGGGGCACGCGCTCCCTTCGGAGAGTGGTCCAAGGGAGGAGGAGGAGAGCCAAGGAGCAAAACTGCTACGGAGCTCCGCAGGGCAGGGCGCGTGGGGTGGGGGGGGGGAGAGAGTGGGGCTGCTCCTCCTCCTCCTCCTCTCGCCCCCTCCCTCCTTCCCCGGGTCAGGCGCGCGCGAGGAGGAGGAGGGGAGGGGGGCAGCGCTCCCCGTTCGCTCCCAACCGCGGAAAGAGAAGGAAAAGAAAAGACCGGTTAAGTAGTATCCCTTCTTCATGGAAACCGGCTTCTCTGATCATTTTTTTCGTGTCAGGAGTGACGTGGGAACTCATCCTCACTGTCCCCATCCTTGTGTGAGGCTTCTCTCATGTCCCTGCATGGGGGGCTGGAACTGTCAGAGGGAGCTCATCCACACTCTCCCCATCCTTGTGGGAGGCTTCTCGCATCCACACTCTCCCACTCTCCCCGGATTAGAACCTGCAACCTGTCGGCGCAAGAGTTTAACCCACTGTGCCACTGGGGGCTCTGATGAAGAGCATGAAGAATGTTCCCGCCTGGCAGAATGGGGTTGGGCTGGATCGTCCCTTTGCTCTCTTCCAACTCCATGATTCCATTTACAGTAGAGTCTCGCTTATCCAACATAAATGGGCTGGCAGAAAGTTGGATAAGCAAAACTGTTGGATAATCAGGAGGGATTAAGAAAGGCCTATTAAACGTCAAATTATGTTACGGTTTTATAAATTAAGCACAAAAACATCATGTTTTACAACAAATTGACAGAAAAAGCATTTCAATACACGGTAATATTATGTAACCCAACTCCTCTGCTGCACCAGCTCCACTGGCTGCCAGTCTGCTACCGGGCACAATTCAAAGTGCTGGCTTTAGCCTATAAAGCCCTAAACCAGTGGTTCTCAATCTTTCTAATATCTGACCCCTAAATATAGTTCCTCATGTTGTGGTGACACCCAACATAAAATTATTTTTGTTGCTACTTTATAACTGTAATTTTGCTACAGTTATGAATCATAATGTAAATATCTGATATGCAAGATATATTTTCATTGATATAAATGGAACATAATTAAAGCCTAGTGCTTAATCACAATAACAATATGTTTGGGGGAGGTATAAACAAGGGATGATAGGATTTGCAGTACCTTCAACAGATTCAGCTCTGACTTCCACAGACTGTTAAGACCCCCACAAATTACAGACCTGGACCAAACTTGGCATACAGAACTCCCGTGACCTAAAGAAAATACTGGAGAGGTTTGGGGAAAATAAATCCTGACATTCTGGGAGTTGCAGTTGTATTTACAATCAAAGAGCACTCTGAACTGCACCAACAATAGAATTCAATCAAACTTAACACCTACCTGGCAGGCTGTCACAAACCTTAGCACTAATCTGGGCCCCTGTCTCTTGCATCCTATGGGCTGTGGTCAGGCATGTAGCCGAGGGGGGGGGGGCTTGGGGGGCTTCAGTCCCCTCCCCCGAAATTCCCATGGTGGTCTGCGAAAAGGCCTTACTGGTACATTATTTAAACTGTTATGTTTATTCATATAATGATCTGATCACCATGCTCAATATATCTCATATGCATGGGGGTTTTGGGGTAATGATACAAAAGGTTTGCTAGGGTAGACCCTCTTACACTCAGACTCAGCCCCCCCTCCCCGAATCAAACTCACCCCCCCCCCCCCCCCCCGAATCAAAATCCTGGCTACGGCCCTGGCTGTGGTGCATAAAAATAGGATCCCATGGAGAAAGGTGATTTTAACTTGGGTGGTGCATTAAAAAAAAGGATCCCATGGGGAAAAGTGATTTAAACTGGGGGCCCTGTCTCTTGCATCCTATGGGCTGTGGTGCAGATAAACAGGATCCCATGGGGAAAGGTTGTTGTTTTCATGTCAGGAGTGATTTTAACTTAGACACCTGTCTCTTGCATCCTATGTGCTGTGGTGCAGTGGGCTTTGTCATTTTCTAATTGGAAACTGCAAAAACTTTGTTTTTGCAGGACATCCTGCAGTGCATTTTGCTATATTTTTAATGAATATCTCATTGAGTCTCAACCAATTCAACATAGTTTGAAGCAGCCGCAAAAATGAAGTTTCTGGAGTATAACTACTTTCAAAGTAAGTACCATACAATTAAACAGGAAATAACACTTGCAAACCAGGGACAGATAGGTTTTTTCAAATTTTGTTACATGGTATAATCATAATAATACATGTTGAGTATCCCTTTTCAATTGGAATCTGTTTCTTCTTGAAAGAAGATGAGAGAGAAGACTGTGTCTGGCAGAATGTGATTGGACTGGAGTGGCCCTTGTGGTGTCTTTAAACTTTATGACTCTATTAAGATCAGGTGGCATTTGGGGGGATATGAGTTTTAAAGGCCATTTGGGTTTCTTTACTGTATTTTAAGTCTGTTTTTCCCACACTTAATTAATTGTTTTTTAAGTTTTGTATTGCACCTTTTAAACTTATCTAGAGTGGATCAATGTTAGCCTCCTTGAGTCCCTATGGGGAGAAAGGAGGGGTATAATTAAAGATAATGATAATGAATAATTGTAGGGTTTTTGTTTTGTTTCAGGAGTGACTTGAGAGTGTCCTTCAATAAGGAGCATGCTTCTCTAAAATATGATGATTGAGGAGGAGGAGGAGGAGGAGGAGGAATGTTCCTGCATGGCAGAATAGAGTTGTGGTCTTTTCCAGCTCCATGATGATGATGATGATGCCGGTTTAATAACTCTTATCAATGTGAACCAGCTTCTCTTAAGTAATAATAAAAAGAATAAGAAGAATGTTCCTGCATGCCAAAATGGGCTTGGCCTGGGTGGCCCATGTAGTCTCTTCCAGTTCTATGATTCTATGAAGTGATGCATCCTGGTAGCTATTTTTCTATTAATAAAGTGATGGAAATCCTCCCCCATCCACCCCCCCCCCACACACACACACACGCGCGCGCGCGCGCACTGCACCTGGCAATAGACAAACTTTTCTCAGTCTACGCTATCTGTAGTTAGTGTTGTCATTTGAACAGTAACATTATAATAATATAAACAGAGGGAAAAGTAAACTTGCACCATTAGAGGCCAAATTCTGCAAGCACTTAGGATCCACATAGGGTTGAATAGAATGTAGCTTCATTTATGATAATAATCATAATTCCAGAGAAACAGAAGTAGATATCTTACACACCCAAATAATTCTTATTTTCAAATAAAAGATGCACACGGGGCACTATCAACTTTGCAGAGGAATATATTCAATCCATCAACGATTCACAATGTGAGTGCAGAATCTGTGAATATGGAGGGCCAACTCTACAACACGTATTCAATTGAAAACCCCTCGCAAGCAAACTGATTTTGCTCAGGGAAGAGCAAGATCAGTTTGCTTGCAAAGAGAAAACAACAAGGAAAGATATAGCCTCTCCACCAAAAAGCCTTCTCTCCCAGTCAACAATAAACAGCCCTCAGCAGATGGTAGTGCTAGAAGAGCTTTCCCAAGGATCTCCAGGCCCAAGCTGCTTTATATCACAGAATAACTATACTTCAGATAGACTAGACTAGATCCAAGACATGAAGTAATGTAATAAGGTAAGTCTGCACAACCTGTGGCCCTCCAAGTTTTGGACTTCAGTTCCAAGAATTTCTGACCAGCTACAGCTTCTGGGAGTTGGAGTCCCAAACACCTGGAGGGCCACAGGTTGTGCAGGCCTGCAATAAGGCATACTTCCAATTCAGCGTATTGGCTCTCCTACTTTGGGGGTGATAATAATAATAATAATAATAATAATAATAATAATTATTATTATTATTATTATTATTATGTTCAGCATCTTGAATACTTCCTATAAGCCTTTGGATTAAGACCTGTGGAAGATTCACCACATTGGACAACCAAAACATTCAAATGTGAGGAGATCAATAGGTACCACTCTGGCGGGAAGATGGCACTCCATGCATTCATGCTGGCCACATGACCTAGGAGGCATCTATGGACAACGCCGGCTCATCTGCTTAGAAATTGAGATGAGCACCACCTCCCAGAGTCAGACACAACTAGATTTAATGTCAAGGAGAAACCTTTACCTTTTTATCAATAAAATTAATTAATATATCACCATAGACTAAACAAGCACTGGTCTATAATGGAAAAATTAGGTAGTTTATTCCAGAGTATGGAACCAAAATGATCTCTTCGATCTTCCGGAGAGGCCCTCCTCTCACTCCTGCCTCCATTGCAAATGCGACTGGTGGGGACGAGGGAGAGGCCCTTCTCTGTAGTGGCCTCTCGGCTAGGGAATTCACTTCCCAGAGATATTAGGCAAGACCCCACTCTGGCAATCTTCAGGAGGACCCTGAAAACTTGGCTGTTCCAATGTGCCTTCAATGATTGATTACATGATAATCTCTGACCAAACTCTGCATAAAATGCCCTCAGAAGCACTTTATTTTCTTGTTGTGTAGTTAAATCCTACCTCATCCCCTAGAGCCCCTCCCTGATATTTTACATTTCCCTATCTCCCAGTGTTTTAAAATTTTAATCCTTGAATTTGGCCCTGCCCATGGTGATCATTTTTAATGTCATTATGTTTTTATTTTATATTGCTGTGTCGCTTATATACATTGGTTTTGTATTTTAGGTTATTTTATTTTTTTATTTTCTGTTGTGTTTTTGTGTTATATTGTGTATATTGTATTGATGGACGTGGTCTCATGTAAGCCGCACCGAGTCCCCTTGAAGGGATGGTGGCGGGGTATAAATAAAGTTTTATTATTATTATTATTATTATTATTATTATTATTATTATTATAAAACCAGAGTAATATATTTAATATAAAATTACCAATTTTAAGAATATTTGTATTGAAATAATTCCCATTTAACTCATTGTTCCTTACCTCTGTGTGAACATGCATCTGAATGGTCCTCACAGATGCTGATTATCTACAAAATAGCAGCCAGTGATCCAGCAAATGCAATCTGATACACACATTAAGACTTCAAATCTTTTCCTGGCATGGAGATAAAATAGTGGGGAAAGTTTTGTTTCTTTAATTCTGTGTATCAGGGGGCTGTTCCAGAATGCAGGAATGGGATGGGTTTAACCAAAAACTCTACAAGCATATATGGATCTCAGAGTTGTAAGAATGCCTGAAATTCTAGTCACCCATTAGTTGCTAGGTTTCTAACATTTTTATTCTCATCCTTAAAAACTTTGGCTTGCCCATAAAGCCAGACATCTGTTAATGAGATAGTCACAAGGCACATTTCTAACTATCAGAAACTACTATCGACCTGAACACATTTGTGTTGGCAGCCTCTAAAAGATTCAGTTTGGATCCCCAAAGTCTCTTGCAAAACCACAAGAAAATGCATTATTATTATTACGCACATTTCTCAGCTCCCATCATGAGTATATGTGAACACTCCCTTAGCATCTGGGCATATAGTATTTACATACTTGGATTATCCATGGAAAATACACACCTCACTGAGGAGCCAAATACATCATGTGGGAATCCTAAATAAAAACTATTTGGTGATTAAGCAGCATGCATGCGGGCTGAAGACAGACACATCTCTCTTCATCTTTTGTGCATTATGTCAGCCGTTGTTGAGACACTTCTGCAAAGTCCACAGCCCCCTACAGAGAAGGAAAGGTGCCTTTTAATGTTTAGATTTCAACATGCGCCGCTAGGAATCAACTCAGAAATAGAAAAATATGCAGGATTTATTCCCCATTTAATCTAATAAATCTTCAACTTCTGTTGTGCATATGTTGAAATCCAAGCAAATTCTTAGTAAAATCCACCCACCAGATAAATGTCCAGCCAATGACTAGCTGTATCATACCCAGCCCTTCACACACACCCCAAAGCAAGCAAACGATAGCTGACTGAAGTTATAAACTTTTTATCATGTTGTTCTCAATTTCCCACCCATTTATCATTCTGAAGCTGAAAAAGCTACAACCATAGAATGATGTATTTTGGAATGATACGGTAAAGGACAATCCAATAACGGAAACATTCGTAGTTGTCTGCTGGTAGGATGAAGCAGTTAACATCCATAGAGCCAGAATACAGGTTGTCACCTGATTAATTTAGAGATGGCCCTTGTCAAGCCATGGACTACAATCCTGTAATATTAAAGAAACCAAAAACTTCACATAAATATTATAAACAGAGGCTAGATGGCCATCTGTCAGGAGTGCTTTGATCATATGTTCCTGGCTCTGTTTCCATGAACTATTGACAATTGCCAGCATCAGGATTTGTAACTTAGGGAATGCTTTTATATTTGACTGATCTGTTGCCATGTAGGTTGCATTGCATGTAAAGCTATAGAACAGTAAATTATGTTGAATCCAATGAGACTTACTTCGCAACAGACATGCAGGGAGTTCCTTAAGTTCATTGTGTTAGTTTTTATGCTGATTCATTTTTTAAAAAAATATTTTTTCTGATCTGTTACAATGGAAGAATGGGGGAGAACAATGATTTTTTGACTATGTCAGGAGATTAACCTTCAAAAATTAAATTCAAGATGGAATATCTAGTATGAAAGCAATCCAGAAGTCATAGCCTTTCTTAAGTTAGCATTATATTTACTTACATAGATGTAAATCCAATTGTTATTCTCAGCTGGAGTAGTATCCATGGAATAACTGGAATATAGAAGTCAGCATGAGAGTTGGACTACGATTCTGGAGTTAGGGTTTAAATCCCCATTTGGCCATGGAATCCCACTTTGTGTCTTTGAACAAAGTACACTCTTTGAGTTTCAGTGGAAGACAATGCAAAACCTTTTCTGAATAAATCATACCAGGATAAAACCCTGTGATAAATTTATGTTAGGGTCAACATAAATCAGAAATGACTATGAAGGCATACAACAACCACAACAAAGTAAGGCAACATTCATCTAATTTCAATGCATGCAACATGTTCAACCTTGTTGTCACTAACAACTGGATTTAGAGCTAGTATATTATTTCTTTTAAATCCCATGTTTCACCCAATACTATAAAATTAAAACAAATACAGTTAAAAGCAACTACAGAAACATGAACCAAAAAATAAGTTATTGTTAAAATCACAATTAAACCATAAAGATGAGTTGGTAAATTTACAGAGAGGATACATTTTTATGAATTTTCTAGGTCCTCCAGTACAACTCTGTGGTTAACTTCTGGCAGACATTGCACTAGGGTTTTCTATTATCCACTATTTCCTGTTTCCACAATAAATAAATTAATGAATGTATCCCCCATGGATCCAGGGATCTCCTTGAAGTTATTTCCTTCAAAGTATGTTGAAATATAAATGTTTTCACTTGTCATCAAAAGGACAGTGAGGACATACCCATCTTAGCCTAGTGAGTTATGTTCAAAGCCTGGGAATATCCACTAACAATGTCCTCTCCCATGTTTCTATCAAAAGTGTTAGAAAGGTGGTGGGTCTAAGATGAGAGATCTTAGAGCTTAAGGGGACTTATGTAGGAAGGTATGGCCATTCAGATATAGACAAAGGTAAAGGTTTCCCCTTGACATTAAGTCTAATCATGTCTGACTCTGGGAGATAGTGCTTATCATCATTTCTAAGCTGAAGAGCTGGCATTGTCCGTAGACGCCTCCAAGGTCACGTGGCTGGCATTACTGCATGGAGCACTGTTACCTTCCCACTGAAGCAGTACCTATTGATCTACTCACATTTGCATGTTTTCGAACTGCTTAGTTGGCAGACACTGGGGCTAACTGCGGGAGCTCACCCTGCTCCCTGGATTTGAACCGCCGACCTTTTGGTAAGCAAGTTTAACAACTCAGTGGTTTAACCTGCTGTACCACTGGGGGCTTTGGATATATATAACCACAACTTTGGATTGTACCAAAAATGAGCCAAGCAACCAGAGGGGTAATGCAACAAAAGGAGTTGCATTAAAAGCCATCCCCTCATAGAGAACATAGAGGAAATCTAGACAGGATGTAACTCAGGTTTATGTCATTGCAAGGCTATCAAAATTGACTTGAAAACATGTTCCACCGGGTTCATAGAAGCTTATTTCCAAGTAAGTGGCATGAAAGTTACTGTATTGTCAGAAGCAATGGAATGTGTTTGGGATCTGGGTGTTAGGACAATGCATAATTTTCCTGCCCAATTTCCACTCTTGATTTTCTTCAGAATCTCGGACATTCCTGGTATTCTGTTCCAAAGCTGTAGGAGTTGAAATCTTTAGAATAATGAGCCAATAAGCTTAAAGAAACAAAGCAGGATGTTTACATCTTCACCCAACCAGCTATTTATTGGCTTGCACTTGCATCCCCTGGGAGTGTGTGGATGTGCATACATCTCCAAATGTTAATTTGTTATCTCCCGCCCCCTCTCCACCCCTTATGATCACTGAGCACCAATTGAAAAATGAAATTGGAGTACTTCCATTTGCTTCAGTGGGCGTTGGATCAGATCTCTTGTGAGTAATGAAATGTGCAAGATTTGTAGCTGAAATGGCACAAAAGTAGCTGAAAATAGCAGCTGGAATTTTGTCTTTGGGTGAAGCATTAGAATATATTTATTCTTCTACAAGGACAAAGGAAATCAGCCCACTGAATATAACATTTCTAAAGGGTTGTTACCCTATTTGCAAATTTTATTTATGCAACAGTGGTTTTCTGCTGAGAGAGATATATAGAGAGAGAATAAGATAGAGAATATAGAAATGCTTTTGATTAAATTACTAATTAGATAAAATATCTAAGCAAATGGCACACCAAATCTTGAACTGACAAAACTTTCCCCCCACAAATAAAGTGACATCACACTCTTTTGAAAGAAGTTAAACAATATAAGGCAGCTTTGGGCTTATAAAAAATAATCCATAGTTTCTATATGATAAACTATCTAACCAACCTAAGGGGACCAGATCTAAAATACTTAATACCCCCATAGTGCTATAAGAGTTTCCATAAACTGCTTTTGGGTGAGGCTTTCTGAGAGGGATTTAACTGTCCACACAAAATGTAATATAGTAAATTTAAATAGTTGAAATTGGCAGAAACCTGTGAATATGTTTGTGTACTATAGTTCTGGAGCATGAACAATAGTGAGTAAAGCATTAAGTTGTGGAGGTTTTGTCAGGATTGAGTCACATTGTTCCATATTACAAGGAAACATTGCCCAGCCTTCTCCTCCTTCTATTTTTCATTCTCAAAGAGAATTTGTTTTAGTACAGTTTTGATTTCCCACTGCCCGACCCACAAAAAAGGGGCTTTTGGGGGAGGGAGAACTGTGGCTACATGCCATTCCGATTAAAAACAGAAGCCCTCCAATTTCCCCCTAAAAGTTAAGTAAAGGTACCTGACTGCCAAAAGTTCCCTCCTTGCATCCTCCTGGCATGAGGAAATGACATGTGAGGAGACAGCCCAGATCTAATAGGGTATTAAATTAATTCGGAACAAATCAGAGAAACCTTAGTTTGTTCCAAATTAACGAGACAGGGCCCAGTTTTGGGACTGTCTGGATAGACCCTCAGTTTGAAAAAACTAACTGGGGACAAAGGAAAAGTCACAGCATGGTATAGTGGTTTGAGATTTGACTACAATTCTGGATTCCAAGTTCAATTCCCCTCTTGGCCATGAAATCCACTGGGTGGTAAACAATGAACAAGTCTTGAAAAGAAAACCTGGAATAGGGTTGCCTTAAGTTTGCCATAGATTGGAAATGATGGGAAGGCACAGAACAACAAAATAAGCAACACTTACAGAAATCCCTTATTCTACATAGCTATTAAAGATACAAGGGATGCCTAACCACCATCTATAGCAGAAATGTCGATTCTTCAGCCTACTTACTGCATACAGTCTCAAAGAATTTCTGTGCAAGCTGGAGGATCCTACAATTTTTGATACAGTTTTGGACCAAACCCATTGGAGAATTGGGCCTCTGGAGGGTTCTGTCTGCCCAACCCCATAGGATCCGAAAAGCACATTTGGGATGAAAAAAATGGAGAACTGTGTTGTTACATTGTGTTCTTCTCCACATAAATCAGGTGTGATGAAAATGCAGGTCATGTGTGGCCCCTTAGCCCCATGTTAGGGACTCATGAAGACTCCCATAATATAAAATATATAATATAGAAAGGAGTGTCTGGACTATAAAATGTCCAGGCACTCCAATTTAATCTGTGAGTGATTTTTGGCTCCCAAATTGTCCAAAATCACTCAGAAATTTTGCGGTTTTACTTCTTTCTCTCACCAGCAACTCCAATTGCCCCTTTCCCAAACTCCTGGCCCAGGGATCAGCTTCAGGATGTGGAGGCTATGTATATTTATTTATTTGCTATTTTTATACCTTGCCCTTCTCACCCCGAAGGGGACTCAGGGCAGCTTACAATCTACAGCAAAAATTCAATGCCACATCGTGCACATAACAATGAACATACCATATAAAATTCTAAAACAATTAAAACAGTAATACAGATTAAAATCTTACAAATCCCACATCATGTACTCACAAGAAATCCCTGTGCACCATGAAGACAGCCAATGTTGGATTTGTGGTGAATACAGGTTGTTATTGCCATTGTTGTTGATCATATAGACAAATCTGGGAAGTGTTTCCTCCTCTCTTCTATGCTTTCCAAACCCAACTTTGATCTGTAAATGTGAAGATAGATAAAAGAGTTCAAGGTAGATCATGAACAGAAAACTTGGCAAGGAAAGGTTAAGTCCATGCCATATTCTGTTAAAAGCACAAAATCAAGTTTAATTTTTTTTAAATGACCAACTTGATGCTGATTGATTGACTACTTACCACCTGACAAACAGTGAAAAAACAAAAATAACTGGTGATATATATGTATAAATTGATATGGAACATTGAATTAGTTCAAACAGTTTGTTAAGCCCCATTCACACTGTTGCTAAAGGATATCAAGTACATTGGATACAGACATAAGGGGCAAATACAGGTTCCCAAGCTGGCAATTGTTGTTCATTCATTCAGTCATTTCCGACTCTTCATGACCCCACTCCAGAGCTCCCTGTCGGCCATCACCATCCCCAGATCCTTCAAGGTCAATCCAGTCACTTCAAGGATCCCATCCATTTATCTTGCCCTTGGTCAGCCCCTCTTCCTTTTTCCTTCCATTTTCCCCAGCATCATTGTCTTCTCTAAGCTTTCATTTCTTCTCATGATGTGGCCAAAGTACTTCATCTTCGCCTCTACTATCCTTCCCTCCAATGAGCAGTCGGGCTTCATTTCCTGAAGTAAAACTGGTAATGATACTTTGAATATAGGCCAGAATTTGCCCGGCCCTTGTTTTTGTATTACATTTTTTTTAAAATCCATTCATCACTCCTCCTCAGCACTGGAAGCATCAGCAGCTTCCTTCCTTGTAATTGGGTTATCAAATGTAATTTCAGAATAAAAATGGCAGTCTGATGATTTGGTTCTTCCAAAAAATCACATCCAGCTTCTGTAGCAAGTAATTTACTTAGTTGTAAGTCTGTAAATGTAAAATGAGAAAAAGCATAGACATATTAAAACACACACATACAATGAGATTTGTTCCCATGACAGTTAATTCATGCAAGACTAATTTCCAGCAGTCAGTAATTAAAAGTGTTGTTCAACATACTACCTGAATAATGTTCATGCCAATCATAACTATATTTATTGTTAACTAAAACTCCATTATTTTCAGGCAATCTAGTGAAGAGGCAGAGTTTGAAGGCAATGAATTCTATGTAATTTACTGGTATGCAGTTATATGATTTTTTAAAAAAATATTTTATTAAATTTTATAACAATCCAACGAAAAAGTGAGAACAATAACAGTATAGGAAAGAGGAGGAAAGAAGAGAAGTATATAAGAGGAAAGAAGAAGAAGAAAAAAGAGAAAAATTCAAAAAAATACATTTTCAATATTTTAAATGGCATTTCAAAGGGTATCAATTTATTAATTCTTGGAGGGAGGTTTCTTCTTAAGAAATGGAAAACAATAGAAATGCATTGGGGGAAAGCAATTTGAACCCCTTGTATTTGTTTCATATCTCCAACTTGAAATGTTAATAGATCGTAATTAAACTTCATAATCCCAGACAAAGAATGAGAGATAATGTGATTGAACTTATGGCATGCAAACATGTTGCATTTTCTGTTTGTTACCTCACAATTAATTCAACAATCAATATAATTTTTGTAACTTTTAGAGTCAGCAGTGGATGGCACATTCTTGAGCAAAAATGACTTCAAGGAAGCGACTATTGTAACTGTCTCTTGAGAACCACATTAGCTCAATGGCATTTGAGGATGTTGCATGAACAATTTGCTTTAAGTCCTGACACAACGTTTTGCTGGCTTTTAAGTCCAGACCAACTAGATTTAAATATGGAATTTCTTCTTCACAGCCTTTCTTTGGTATATCTTATAGTATGTATAAGGCCACTGTCAAATTGCAAGATCCACTTTCAGTTCAGCTTTAAGTCTTGTACGGATAGACTTATTTTTTTTCTAGAATTATCATCTTCACTGCAGAATAATTCATTATTTTCTTAATAATGGCAAAACACCCAGGTTATGAAGGAGCAAAGAAGGCCATAACCATCACATTTTCATCACCATGTTTGACAGCTGGGATGAGGTTCCTCTGGTTGAACTCAGTGTTAGTTTCTTTGCCAGACACAGTTTTTCATTGAGTCATCTATCTAGTGAGCATTGTTTTAGAAGTCTATGTGATCTTTATTAAACTTCAGATGGACAATCAGAGTTGTTTTAGAAAGCTGACTATTTCCCCATAAACACCATTCTTGCTGGGTTTCCCCTTTATTCTTAAGTCAAGGAGCAAGCCAAGGAGTGAGGCTTACAGACTCTTAGGTGTTACTCTGAGGTTCTTGGCTATTTCCTAGATGGTTATTGGGGGAAGTCGTTGTCTATTCCCCAAGAGATTGGGGCAGAATGGTCACTCCACAATATTGGGAAGTTGGGTTTTGAAACATCTCTGTTTGTTTCAAAGCATCCAATCTTTTCAAATGGTCCATTAACACTTTCCACATTAATGAGCAGCAACAACTCCTTCATTTTTAGGTCTTTAAAGATAGCTTTGGGTTATGCCATGATACATTTCTAACAACCACACAAAGAAGACCAAACTCACAAAACTAAATCATTTAGAGGGCAGGCCTTCACAAATCCAGCCCTACAGACCTATGAGCCCATCAGATAGACTGAATTCCCATTCCACACCACTTCTCCTCCCCTTTGACCATGAAGCCCTTTCCTCGACACATGCCAACTTCCAGCCAGGCTCCATGGTGAAAGAGAAGAAGAAGCAGCACATGCCACTGCTGTGTTAACATTGCCTTAGGAGCACTGTGGAGAAGCCAGGCAGCAGCAATTCCCCATGAGTTTGGGGAAAAGGCAAGTCATGCAATATGCGGTGTGGAGCGATGGGTTATTCACTCTCCGTGCTGGGACCCCCATGGATTTCCCATGTTGTGAGACAAATCCTTATCCCTTTGTGATAAGGTCACTAGTAGTACTCATGCACCCCAATTCCTTTAATTGAGCAGATGAGACCAAAATTTCATTTACAAGAGTTGAATGAAAAGTAATGCCTCCACCTCCATTACTTGAGTTTGGGATGTGTTGTCATCCATACTGGATATTTGGCCGGCGGTGGGTGGATGGGGATATTCCTGAATGTCATAATAGCAAAATTTTAATAGAGCTCATTAGAGTTTTACAACTTCTTCTTACCCTGTGTAGGATGTGAATTACTTTGTTAACATTACAATGGCTTATGGTAACATGGATTTTGGAATATAGTAACAAATTCCTTTTCAAAAGTATGTTTCTGAGCTCTGAGATCCAAAGTATGGGTGAGTTCTTCATTCATAGTACCCTGTAATGACGGCAAGTATTTAAGGATGTCAAATCCTGGAGTAAGTCAGTATAGAAAGTGCAGAAGAATACGTGTAGAAATAGCCTGCAGCATTTTTACAAGAGACACTACTGTTTAGTTGTGATTTTTACAAGAAAGAGAGAAACCAATACCTCAGGCCATACATTATTTTAAAAACACATTGAGATCTGTATATTAAAACTACCTTTTAATTAGCAAGCCAGAATGATAAAATAACATACAGAATGGCCCTTTTCCTAATTAAAGCAGCACAGCTAAGAACTGAATATTTAGAGTTGATTGGGGTAAACTGTAGGGGTGATGCAGATATTAGATCTGGATCGGAACCTTTTTAACAGCTTGTTTATTTTAACTTAAGTTGTACTGTATGTGTATGTATTTATCAAATGTTTTTGATATGGCCAGTGGGCTAATCAATAAAACATATGACTTATGATTGACAAGAGACAGAGGCAGATATAAGAACTGTGAAATGAATGTGCTCTGTGTGTACAGATTGCTCTTTAGCAATATCTGGGCAGGTAGCTAGCCAATACACTGTTCAGTGCAACTCACAGTCTACTTGTGTATTTGGAAATCACACTAAAATGACTCACATATAGATATCGAGTAATCCCTCTAATTCAAAGGAAATTAAAATCGTTGTTAGTTCTGCTTCTGAATCCTCTCACCACACAATAATAAAAAAAGATTAATGACATATTATTGGTGAGGTTAGACTTGTGGGTATTAAGGAATGGCATCAGCATACATTTCATAATTCTGGTTTTGAAAAAAAATCAATTTTCTCAAAGTCTCAATGTGATGTAAAAAAAACAAGAGCACATTGCTGCAACTAGCCCTATACCATTCAATATATCTCCACAATATATACATACTATAGTCCACACAGAATTTACCATCACAATCAAATTACTCATTCCAGAGAACCCACCACCATGGGATATTATGGTATGATGAGTGCTGTAAAACTGCAATTTCCTGCCAAGGAATTGTGCTTTCTCGGGGGAGCACATCTGATGCACCTGCTGTGGTAACTAAAAACGGCATTCAATGCTTTAAAAACTGACCACATCGACAAGTCTGCTCTCTCTGGATTTGACCTCTATATTCAATCAGAATTTGTTGACATTATTCCCTCCTAGCCTACTTCCACCCACACCTTCTTTCCTCCCATAACTAACTTTTCAAGACTCTTATACAAACATCAGCAAAGCTCTTTCAGTGATCCAGCTCAACACGTTTTGACATCTTTTACAGCAGTACAATACATTAGTGTCTTGCTCTCTTTAGGAGACTAGAAGAGCTAATTGAGATCCATTTTCCACATTTTGTTGCATGCTTTTCCATGCAACAAAATTTATTCATATATTATTTTATAGGACTGGTCCTACTGTTAGACAGACATACCAAGATAACTACACAGACTGTCACACTTTAGTCATATGAGAAGACATGATTCACGATAAGGTAGAAGATAGGAAAAGAGGAAAACCACATTCCAGATAAAACAAAATCAAAGAAGCCACAACTCTGCTTCCGTAAGACCTAACTTGGAGGTCTCTCATTTATGGGGTCTTCTACCTTATAGAGAGTCATGCCTTCTCATGATACGACTAAAGTGTAATAGTCTCAGTTTAGCCAACTATGAAGTTGACTTGATGGCATTTAACAACATAGGGCCCTTCCACACAGCCATATAACCCAGAATATCAAGGCAGAAAATCCCACCATATCTGCTTTGAACTGGGTTATCTGAGTCCACACTGCCATATATTCCAGTTCAAAGCAGATAATGTTGGATTTTATTCAGCTGTGTGGAAGGAGCCACAGGGTATTCAAAAATGTTTGTACCTTGGTGCAAAGTTTCCCAAGCATAATGCCTTGCAATTGAGTTAAAGCCGCCTTGAGTCACCTTTGGGCTGAGAAAGGTGGCATAGAAATGCAGTAAATAAATAAATAATAAATTAACGATTTCTTCTTCACAATGTCTTCTCTCTCTTACTTTATTCTGAGGCAACTATTCTATCCAAGCATGATGCATGGTTACACAGTATGTATTTAATCTCCAGCACAACTTTTTAAAGGAATTGCATAATCCTGTTTCTAAGCAAGACCACTGTCAGCAGACCCTTTAAAAGTTACATTTCAAGAAGTGCCAGAAAATGACTGAAATCTTGTTGGTTAGTCCCAACTAGAGGAGGCTCATTGAATCAATTGTTGAATGACAAGTAAACACATAGGTAAATTCAGCCCATTCTCCCCGTTAAGACAAGCGACAGGAATCAGCCCTGAATCTCTCTCCACAAAATGTAATAAAGGCCAAAGCATAGTGCTCCCTGCCATTTAAACTTTACACTTTTTTATTTCCTGAATTTCTCAATACAGTGATATATTGAGTTAAGAGTTTGATTCATTCTTTGACCAGGCTCTTAACTCAAATCACTATCTTATCAAAGCCAATTTCCCATTGAAATGCTATTAATCCATTCCGAACCCATGAAAACCCTTCCCCCCATATTTTTTGTTATGTGTTTTAAAATAAGAAAATGTACTTTATAAATAACAAATAGTGTATACAC